TAACAAAGTAATCTTATAATAAGTGGTTTAAACTAGTTAGTTAATTAGTTTAACATGCTCAAACAACAAGAGTGTTTAAGTGTGACTAAACATTTTCTTTAGAATTTCATTCAGCTAATGGAGACTATTATACTTTGTCTAATTAACTTTTAAGTTACAAAATCTTATCTCGAACCAAAATCCAATCAAATATGATATGGCCCTTTTGTAGGGTATAGGACCCAAAAGGCTGAGAAAGACCCAAGTGGGCTTTGCAGACTGTGCCCGATGCACGTTGTTGCATTTCTACTTGCCGCCGCCACGCGCATGACGAATGAAAGTGAAAATAGGAAGTCAAGAGGTGGCCAAAGAGCCATGAGACCGGCAACAGTGCCAGAAACTGGCAACAACAACAACGGCATCAACGGGCCACTCAGACTTCGCGTCAGACATTGGCCAAGTTGGCCAGACATTGCGCGGCAGTTTCCTCCAGTTTGGTTGCGAATGCAATTGCCGCCAGTTGCCAGTTGCAAGTTGCCATTGCTGTTGCAGGTTGCAGGTTGCAGGTTGCTGTTTGCTGTTCGCTGTTTGCAGTTTCCAGGCTGTCCGTTTTAGCCCCAGTTTCCAGTTGCTTTATTTTGCCACACTCGCTGATTTCTTGGCCAATTTCTAATGGCCAGTACCCGCGAGAGATGGCTGCGTAATACCACCAAGATGGTGGATCCGGGGGATGCCGGCTCGTTATCCTCTCCAGGCCATAATGTTGATGGTGTTAATTTATGGCCTCGCTCTTGTCCAAATCCCGAACGCGATCCCGGTCCCGATTCCCCATGCGTATCCGGCTTTATTTATGAACATTTTTTCATATTTACACTGGGAAGATGTTAATGCCTTGAATGATACATATAAATATAAAGTAGTATCAGGGGAATCACTACTTTAATGATTAACATCTAATGCTCAAACTTAGATCAGCAGAATATCTTCAATTATTTAGTAATGCAAGCTCTAATAAATCTAAAGTTTACGATATATTGAAATCTATCTTAAAACTATATTATATCAAATTGGTTTATTTTCCCCTGTGCATTTACCTTGCTTTCTGCTTCGCTTAGCATGGATTTTCTTTGAAAATTATTCATACACCTTGCCAGAGCTTGGTGCCGCTTGTCAATTTTACGCCCGAACGTGAAAAACTTTATCGTTGGTTTTTATATTTCGGCATCTTGTATGTTTTGCTCCCCAACTACTTATGTTTGCTCTAACGCATTTACCGTTAGCTCTTGATTTTTGATAAAAAGAGAAATAAAACCGCAAAATCATAGCCAAACCCCGTTGGCGTTCATAGTTGGAGGTCCATTCGGCCAAAATTAATGACTTCAATTTGCCGCAATGTGTTGAGCATTAAATTTGTTATAGTTTTTAGTCGCTTACTTTGTCAGTTTTTAACCAGCTCGGGGGAAGTCGGAAATTGCTGACTCAAATTAACTTAAAATCGATGTGAAATTTCTGGAAATTATCTGTGTTTTTTATTGACTTTTAAGCAGTAAAACGATCGATCAATTATGGCGGCAAATGACATTCTTTGAAAGCCTCGTGAAAGTTTTGACATTTCATTAAATTTTTCGTTAATTAGATATCTGGTTTTAAAGCTGTATAAATATGAAAAAGATGTTGTGTATATCTTCTGACAGAGACCCCATCAGATCAGATCCGATCCCACCCCATCCATGGGCTGAAACCTTACACAACTCACTCAAAATCACATGGCTTTGGCTGGCACGCATAAATTGCATTACTTTATGATTATTATTCTAATTAATGCACAGTTCCCACATTAATAAGCACCCGAAAAAACCATGCCTAACCATATGGCAGAAGCGGCAGCAGAAGATAACAAAATAACAAGGCCCAAAACCAAGCCTCTATCTGCGGTATTGTTCACGCCATTGGGCACGGGTTTGTCCAACTGACTAACCGACTATGTATCTGACTGACTGACTGATTGACTGACTGACTGACTGACTGGATGGCTGGTTGGCTGACTGACAGCTCAAAGAAACCTTCAAATGCAACGCAGCAATGAAGACAATGCCAAGCAATATCAATGAAGTTATCGTTGCGAGTACAATGCAAAAACCCACAAGAAGACAACTGCAATCCGAGTTGGTTTTAATCGACACGCGGATCGGATCGCTTCGGTGCACAAGATATTATGCACCGTGCTTCCCAACCGATAATGTTGTTAATACACAAAAAAAAACGACAAGTTGTAATTATGACAGCGTCATAGATCAAATTGTTGGATAAGTTACGCAGGAAGTGTGAATAATCAGATGATAACAGCGAAAATTGTCATTAATTAATTGAATAATTACCATCATATTCTCACCGTATCAAGGCTGGTAATTATGTATAAAATTATGTCATTGGTTTGACAGGTTTTCCATTTATTTATGCAATAAAATAAACTTAGATGTTTGGTAGGAAATATAAAGGGGTTTGTGAATCAGGCTTCTGTATTATTTACTACAAAGTTACGTTATATTATTAAAATTCAATATATTAACTACAGTTTTTCCTCTCGTTCCCTATACTCATATTCCTCGGACTTTCCCACAAATTACCATAAAAGTCTGCACGCAGAATTGAACCAATCTTTGTTGGCCCAACAACAAAAGTTGTCCTGAACAACTTTTAATTTTCTGGTCGCTGCACGACTTTTGCACGCGTTTTTCTCGGCAATCTCGACGAAGTTCGCCTGTTGCAATTGTTGTTTATATTTTTTTATTGGAAAACTGGCCGCGAGGTCAACAAGAAACTGCCTCTCTTTTGATTTTCCACGCTCGCGTGTGCTGCGTATGTTCTCCGGCTTGGCTTTGACTCCGCTCCGGTTCACTTTCGTGGCATCCTTCAACTTTAAAAGCGAAAGACACCAAAATGCAATTGAAATGAATGAAAAATCGTGTTCCAAATGTCAGATGCGAGCCCCAAAAACAAAACAGACAAACTGTAGCAATTGCTCGGTCTTCTCGATCTCCGCTTAGGTGATTCTCTTGTTTCACTTTCGGTTTTGGCTTTGGATTCAGTTTCAATTACGCTTTTGTTTTTGGTTTTTCGGTTTTTTTGGTTTTCGGGTTTCAGTTTCTGTTTTTGGCTGGGATACAAATTGCAATTTGATTGCTTCAAGCTGTTCGAGTTAATTGAGGTCAAAAGCGTTGTCAGCATCTTCCAAAAATGCACTGATTTCGGGGATCGGTTTTGGTTTTATTTTTTTGGACGCTAATTAAACGCCCAGAAAGGAGTGTGAAGAGCAATGTTTAGAGGCAACAATTAAGATTTTTCAAACACTTAAAAGGTGCTAACAATGGATCAACTTTGCTTCGAAATTATAGTAACTTTGCATGACAAAATAATCTACACTGATGGTAGAAATCGAAGGACAATCAGAGAGCTGAGTTCTGATTATTGGCAAGGGACTCATACCAGGGGGTCGCCTGGAGAAAATTATCCTTGGAAATAAATTTGGTATATTACTTCAGAGATATTTAATTATTTTCGGGAAAGTTCTTGATTTTAGGATATAAAAACAAGAGACAAAAGTATCATGAATAATAATAGAAATATTAAATCTATCTGTTGATATTCTCTGGGGGATAACTCCACTTATTTATCTGCAAATCCTCTAAAGATCTTAAAGTCTTTTCAATATTATACAATATTCTTTTGATATTTATATAATTATGTTTCCATTTAGACCTGTGTAACCCTGCGCACCCCCAGCGGTCATCAATTGTACAACAAAGAAGCAAATGACATAATTATATTGCACATTACTCAACTCAAAAGTCGTGGGCTACTGTAATTCCAGCCTTATTGCTTCTGTTTTAGGCGCAAACCAAGAGGGCCATTTCGAAATTTTAAATAGGAAAGAAAAAGAGAAGCCAGTCAGACATTTTTGGCTGCTTGGGGCTAAGGTCATGTGAAACTATGCAGCAGCAGAAGCCGAAGCAGCCGGCCAAACAAAAGCCAAGCTCGGATGATGAGCTATGACTTCTGTCTGTCTGGCTGCTTGGCCTTTCGGTAATTGCCAATGCTGGCGGCAGTTGCCGTTTGTTTGCCAAATGGCCAAGATATAAAAAGTATCTTTTTTGATTTCAATTTCATTTTGGGCTTTTGCCTTAGCCGCCTTTCGGTGTGCAACGACAACAACGCCGACGCCCATTGTCTCGGTGGGTACTCTTATTAATTGCAGGGCTGTTGCTGGAGCATTACTTTTGATAATTTTTCAGTCTTTGTCTCAGTTGGCAAGGTTAAGCCGAAGTTCAAGATGTGGTTTTTTATTGTATGACTTTGCCCTATAGCATTGTGTTTAATCAACTGGAAATTAAAAAACAAGAGGGAAAAAGCTAACTAATAGTATACCTTTGCAGTTATCAAATCATCATAACTAAGCGAAAAATTCCTTAAATTTAAATCGGAGAGCATTTAAATGTTAGTTTTTATTAGGGCAACAAATCTGCATACTGAGTTTTAAAATTTAAAAAACTACATTTTTTGTGAAATTTTGACAATTTTAATGATGTAACCCCTTATAAAAATTTGAAAATTTGAACATTTTTGAAAAAATTAAATTTTGACCAAACATAGCTAGATCGATTCGGTTGTTAATTCTGATCAAAAATATATATGAAATATAGGGTCGGAAATGATTCCTTCACTGCGTTTCAAGCTTCGTAACGAAATTATAGTACTCTGCAAAGGTAAATAAAAGCATTATAAAAAGATTGAAAAATTAAGCTGATGAATCATATTTACATGCTTTTAATTGTCTCTTTAATTGTTCTTTAAAATATTATAGTATTTATAGCTTTTCGAATAAAAAACAGGTTTAATTTAACTCATGACCCAATTCTATTTTTTCGAGTTTGAGTTTTCAAGTTCGTGTTCTAAGTCTTTTGATTGCATAATGCAATTTTGAGTTCTTTTGCTAAATCTTTAATTTTCCTTTCGTTTTTCAGACCATCAACATGTCCGCCAGCTCCTCAGCCTGCGATTGCCTGGTGGGCGTGCCCACTGGACCCACCCTCGCCTCCACCTGCGGCGGCAGCGCCTTCATGCTGTTCATGGGCCTGCTGGAGGTCTTCATACGCTCACAGTGCGACCTGGAGGATCCCTGCGGCCGGGCCAGCACTCGGGTAAGTGTCGATCACCTATGGACACCTGAGGCCATTGGGTTATATCTATATATATATTACAGTTTCGATCGGAGCCGGATTACGAGTACGATTTCATTGTCATTGGCGGCGGCTCAGCGGGATCTGTGGTCGCCTCGCGCCTCTCTGAGGTGCCCCAGTGGAAGGTGTTGCTGATCGAAGCGGGTAAGTGATGGTGGCGCAGCACAGCAACATGTTGCCAGCGATTCACGCCGCTCACGGCAATTAGAGGCACGTCATGTGGCATTTGTTTAGAAGTAATTGAAGCCTAACTGCGGCAACACACAACTGAAGCGCTAATGCCACTTGGGCAACTCTTGTGGCAAAGAAGCAACCGCAACTGCCACGAGCATTATGTAAACTAAACGAGCTGCCACCGCCAGAGGCAATCTCCATCCCATGCAAATGGCTCTTCCCTACCTAGGATTTGCCTTAGATTCGAGCTGTTAATATGCCTTTGCCCAAGCCGTTCCGCTTGACTTTATTTTTTGCACTCAATAATTGTGTTGTTGATCACCGCCTGTTTTCTTTATGAATGAATTACGAGGCGCAGGCATCACACGTGAATCTCTGAGTTAGTACATTATTATATTCAGCCTTTTTGCTTTTGCAGTACATTCACTTTGGCTTAATTAAGCTCAAATATGCGGCAAAAATCCGCTTAAGAGGCTTTTTAGCACTGCATAATTTTAAATTTTATAGTCTGAACATTTGCAAACATGGGTTTTCAGGTAATGTGTTGCATTAAAGCTGAGTTCATGAATTAATATATATTTATTATATTAATATTTTATCAAGAAATATATATATATTTGGTTTGTAAATCGTCATTTCACTTATGTTAAGTGCGTAAAGTAATAAATAATTAGGAAAGGTAGCACAATGGTTACAGATAAGGAATTTAAAAATTAATAATTATCATATTCGGTTTGTTTTTATGCATTTCAATAGGTTTTTATAAATAATTGATATATATTTCGTCTCATGATTAATTTAATAACTAAAGCCCATGGAAAATTAAAATGTCAAGCTCTTTTTATCAACTCGATATCTCAATATTCCCTATCAAATACTAAAAGAAATCCGTCATTAATCATCATTTGATTTCCATTTTCAACTAATGTCTTACTAAAACACTCAAAGAGTGTGGAAAATCACACCGGCTATCTTTAAAGCCTGGGAAAGCATTCTAATGGCTCCATTAAAACTGCCCCATCAGCATTCTTGGATCCGCTTGGCTTACTTTCTGGGTCTCTCTCATCGGTAGTTTTCAATTTTTGCGCAAAGTAATTGCTTATAGCGACAATTTTTACGCCTCGTCACTAATTACACTAATTACACGAGACCAAAGCACACTAGAAGTTGTCGATGCGTTGGCGTTAATTATACAACAATGCCTGCGGCTGGAGTGCCATTAGCCGTGGCCATTATTACCAGGCTTATTATCCATACTGATATACCTGTATGAGCAGATAGCTCCCGGCTTAAGTGCCTTTTGTTTCCATCATAATTCGGACTGGCTTGACATTAGACATGCAGCTCGTCAAAATTTAGTCAATGTCAAAAGCATGCCGGAAAAAAACTAAAGAAGTCAAGTTGGTGCCTGGTACACTGACCCCCTGGAATGACCCTCGCCTAAGGTTAATGTCTTCTTCATACTCCTTGCACGTGTTCTAAATCTGAGCTCTAAATTTAAATCATATTCTAAATTATGCTTTATAGCGTAACAAATCATGTGTCGCACTTAAATCAAATAAATAATTTGGTCACTTTGGATTTAAGATGCATTTATTTTTAGCTTACTAGAATCTTATTTTGTCTTTTTTTAAACGATTACAGAAGTGAATACGGTGCCAGGTACACTGAACTCTTAATTAACTTTTGACTTGGGTTAATGTCTTCAGTTTGCTCCTGGCGCGTGTTCTAAATTCTAGATTTAAGCTGATAATATTAGGATTATTATTTAAAATATCTTCTATATACATCAAACTCAGGAATTACACTTTTCTTAGGGTCCCTAGTTGAACTTGAGAAATTCAAACTACGTTCTTATTCTAGGAACTTCAATGCCACCTCAGGTTACTCTTGCAGGGTATTATGATTTTAGTCAGAAGCTTGAAACACAGTGAAGAAGCCATTTCCGACCCTATAAATCATATATATTATTGATCAGAATTAACAGACGAATCGATCTAGCTATGTCCGACCAAAATCTATTTTTTTCAATATTTTCGAAAATTTCAAATTTTCATAAGGGGTTACATCATTAAAATTGTCAAAAATTGACAAAAAATTTAGTTTTTTATTTTGAAAAACTAAGTATGCAGATTTGTTAGGGCTATAAAAACAAGCACAGAAAAGCTTTGCGAATTGAAGTTAATGCGTTTTTGGCTAAGTTATGATGATTTCCATTTGCAAACTGCAAGGGCATTTAAACTTTTGTCTTGCCGAATTAAGCTTCTTTTTCCCCTCTTCTTTTTAATTAATTTATTATAATTACCATATAATGTGGTCATAAAATTGAGTCAATGCAAATTTCTTTTTGCCATCGAGTTATTTATGAAGTCAATATTCGAGCAAAGACGTCCGACTTGGTTCAGTCTCACCTTAGCCTTTACTCCAAGCTAATTAGAATGCATTTCAGATTGGTGCTAATTGTTTTCTTTTAAGTCTCGGCGTAAACACCAAAACGCATTTGTTTTTATTTGCACGACACATACGTATGTTGGATCTGGCCCCAGAACAAGTTATAAACAATATGGGGAACATATATAACGATTGTACTCAATGAATCAGAGCCGGTATTTTTTTCTCTTTCTAAATTTTTGGCGGTTTAAGTTTAAGTTTCCTTTTGTTGAAATACCAACTTAAATTATTAGTCAGGATTTTGGCGGTGAAATTTTTGGCTCCCACGCTATGGCTAGCAGCAATCAAAGATTACCGCTTGAATTCATTTAATTAACTTGAGTCGTGGACCCGAGCTCAGCGGAAATTCTAGAACGCTGATTGAGCCAATATATACCTACTAATTACAATAGATTAGCCTGGCTTAAGCGAAAGCGTGCCTCGGATGTCCCAAACTCTAATTGAAGCCAAAGCCCACCCAAGCGCCGAAGGTTGGGCCGAAGTTGGCTTAAATGCCTTCTTAATGGCCAATTTGGGCCTATTTATCATGACTCACGATCAGTTATTGAATGGATCTTGGAGTTTAGTACATTGGTAGAGTAAACAAATTATCTGAGATTAATTTTGCACTTAACTTCAATGAGTTTTTTAAATAATGAAGCCAAGCTTTGTAGATAATTCTATTATTTTTTATAATAAACATAAGATTATTCATAAATATATTATTCTATATATCTTTCAGGTGGAGATGAACCCGTGGGTGCCCAGATTCCCTCCATGTTCCTTAACTTCATCGGCAGCGACATCGACTACCGCTACAACACGGAGCCGGAGCGGATGGCCTGCCTGTCCTCGATGGAGCAGCGGTGCTACTGGCCCCGAGGCAAGGTCCTGGGCGGCACTTCGGTGATGAATGGCATGATGTATATCCGTGGCAATCGCGAGGACTATGATGATTGGGCAGCACAGGGTAATCCAGGCTGGGCCTACAATGATGTGCTGCCGTTCTTCAAGAAGTCGGAGGATAACCTGGAACTGGATGCGGTGGGCACGGAATACCATGCCAAGGGTGGTCTGCTGCCGGTGGGCAAGTTCCCCTACAATCCACCTCTGTCCTATGCCATTCTCAAGGCCGGCGAGGAACTGGGCTTCTCCGTGCAGGACCTCAACGGTCAGAACTCCACAGGATTTATGATTGCCCAGATGACGGCCCGCAATGGCATCAGATATAGCTCGGCCCGGGCTTTTCTGCGTCCAGCACGCATGCGCAACAACCTGCATATCCTGTTGAACACCACTGTGACCAAGATCCTCATCCATCCACACACCAAAAATGTGCTGGGCGTGGAGGTGAGCGACCAATTTGGTAGCATGCGTAAGATCTTGGTCAAGAAGGAGGTGGTGTTGAGTGCTGGTGCCGTAAACTCGCCCCAGATTCTGCTCCTTAGCGGTGTGGGTCCCAAGGATGAGCTGCAGCAGGTGAATGTGCGACCAGTGCACCATCTCCCGGGTGTGGGCAAGAACCTCCATAACCATGTGGCCTACTTCACCAACTTCTTTATCGATGATGCGGACACGGCGCCTCTTAACTGGGCCACGGCCATGGAGTACTTACTGTTCCGGGATGGCCTAATGTCTGGCACTGGTATTTCGGATGTGACCGGAAAACTTGCCACCCGTTGGGCCGACAGACCGGATCTGCCCGATCTCCAACTTTACTTCGGTGGCTACCTGGCCAGCTGTGCCCGCACAGGACAAGTGGGCGAACTGCTCTCGAATAACTCCCGGGCGATCCAGATATTCCCGGCAGTGCTCAATCCCCGTTCTCGGGATACATCGCCCTGCGTTCAGCCGATCCCCTGGATCCGCCTCGCATCTTTGCTAATTACCTTACCGATGAGCGGGATGTAAAGACCCTGGTGGAAGGCATTAAGTTCGCCATCCGCCTGTCCCAGACATCGCCACTGAAGCAGTATGGTATGCGGTTGGACAAGACGGTGGTCAAGGGATGCGAGGCTCCGACCTTCGGTAGCGACGCCTATTGGGAGTGCGCCGTGCGGCAGAACACGGGTCCGGAGAATCATCAGGCGGGCTCCTGCAAAATGGGTCCCAGCCACGATCCCATGGCGGTGGTTAACCACGAGCTAAGGGTCCATGGCATCCGGGGACTGCGCGTCATGGACACCAGCATCATGCCCAAGGTGACGGCGGGCAATACGCACGCTCCCGCTGTAATGATTGCGGAGAAGGGAGCCTACCTCCTGAAGAGGGCCTGGGGCGCCAAGGTTTGACGCGTGGATGCGACGTGGACGTTGCATAGAGTAATTTAATCAAAAACTCCAAGCGAAAATTAAGCGAAATTACACTTAAGGCTCCTCTCAGCTCAGATCCAAAACTATATCTTTCTATATACCTTTGGCCAATCTAATACAATCTAATCCGATCCAATACCAAACGAAGGCATCTCACACTCTAGGCACACCACGTTGCGCAATCTCCAATAATGCTCTCGATAAGTTAATAACCAATAAAGTACTCTTAAACTAACTAACTGCAGTGACCCACTAAAGATACAGTCGAACTTTCGTAACTCAAACCACAATAGATCCTAAAATCATGGCATTTAAACCACAAAAACCTACTATACTTAAAGAAAAAATATTAGAAAATATAAAACTAATATATATGGTTTTTAGAAAAGCGAGATTTTCATTATCTTTAGCAAAACAAACCTGAATATAAACATTAACGTTGAACCGACTTAGTTTATTACTCGTTTTTACCGTCGAGTGTGTGAAGTTCGACTGTATGCTTAAACTTCGTAATGAACGTTCATTAAAATCTACACTTTAAATACGTAATTGTTGTTTAGACCCATTCAGTATACAAATTGTATTTATTGTTTGTGGGCTATCAAACAATTACATACTCTTATTTAAACTATATAATTCTTGTGACCCAATATACCAATGTAAATTTCGTTTATCGTTCACTTTGCAATCGCACGGATGAACGGATGGCCTGTACTTCTGTATACGCGTATATTGCATGTATTTATTGTTCGATTAAAGTGCAACTATTTAGTTTAACTGCCTAACAAGCCTCTTAATTTGGTCACGTTTAGCACATGATTATGGATCGATCGACGGTATATATATCATAGCAGCTGGAATGCCACTCACCAGTCAGAGTCTGCAATGTTTCGTTCTATATTCCTGGTTCCAGTGTTCTGCCTGATCTTAGTGGCCACCCAGGATGAAGTGGTGCCCGACGATCCGGAAGTGCAGAAGCAAATGCACGCAATGTTCTACAAGGCTAGAGTGGCCTGTGCGGATGAGAATTTGATTCCGTATGGTAAGTCACGGTACCTACAGCTATTCAAACAAAATGATCTTTAATTGGTGAAACACTAGAGTGATTAGGGTCCCTTTGTGTGAAGCGTATACAAACTTCCGAGTTACGGGATATAATGCAAAAATTATTATTTGCATGGCATGATCAAAGTTATTTGTAATATAAATTTTAGTTTTTCTATAAAAGGGGAGTAACTGATATCCAAAAAACATTCAGTTAGTTTAAAATGTTTTCCGCATTGCTCAAGTTCAGCTTCGGTCTGTTCAGCCTGAGTCCGTATTCTGTGCATGCTCTGCAGGATCACGCCAAGGATAATGGCGATGTTTTCATTATAAATTACGATAGCTTCGATGGTGATGTGGATGACATATCCACCACCACACCAGCTCCCAGGGAAGCCGACTATGTAGATTTCGATGAGGTCAATCGCATCTGCAATGCCAGTTTTATAACTCCAATGCGTGAGTTCGGTCGGGGAGATTAATGCTTGAAACGGAAACCTAAATCTAAAATCCTTTCAGCCAACGTCTTACAGTTTAATAGCACAGGTGAGCTGCCGGACGACAAGGATAAAACTAGCATGGTAAGTGGGTTTTGATTCACCCTTTTCTATTACCATTCACACGAGTTTTGGGCAGTGCTATTTCCACTGCTTCTTTGAAAAGTCGGGCTTGATGAAGGACTACAAGTTGAACACAGATCTGGTGCGCAAATATGTTTGGCCGGCCACCGGCGATTCCATCGAGGTTTGCCAGAACGAGGGCAGTAAGTAGCAGAAACAGATAACTGGACCTACATTATGTAATCCTTAATCTTGCATCCCTAGAGGATGAACCGAATGCTTGTGAACGGGGCTATGCCATCGTCAAGTGTGTCTTCATCAAAGCCCTTACGGATGCCAGGAACAAGCCCACCGTTTAAGAACTCCAAGCAAGCACATCTATTAACCTTTTTGCTAGAAAATTACGATTATTATTAAATATTGCTACGGCCAATGCACACATTTTGCACCAACTACTCCTCTCGACTGTTTTCTTGGCCCAACTATCACGTGCCGTCAACTCCACCACACACGGTGTTGCTGTAGTTGAGCAGGCGGCTCAACCGCTTGCCAATGGGCTTGGGGTACTGGTTATTCTTCAGCAGGAACTCCTTGGACTGATGCTCTACGGCCCCGTTGTCCAGTTGGTACTTGCAGAGCGTGTGTAGGGGTCGCACAAGCGATTGCTTCAGCTCTGGCCGGGCCTCGAGCACGGCCAGGCACTGGGCGGCGGTTTCCAGGGTGCTGAGGCAGCCCTCAGTGGGCTGTGTGCGGATAATGTAGTCGCTGATGCCCACGGCGATTAGCTTCACTTGGCGTAAACTGTGCAGGGCAGGGCTACTGGCGTAGATTGCTTTGGCCTGTGGCCAGGTGCCGTCTATGAGGACCAAGGTGTAGGGACCGGCGCTGCGATCGACTTCCTCTAAGGGAACCGAGTCCCGGCTGGGATAAAGCAGCAATGTCGTAGGGGAATCCAAGATACTCTGCAGTTCCGCGTGGTTTTTGTGATTCGGAAACCGCTTGCCCTTGTAGACCACACACTTTCCGGGCTCCAGACCCAGCTGGAGCATCAGGGCCGTTCGAAGCGATCGCTTCTCCTCAGCGGGATGCTGCAGAATAACAATCTGCGAGGTCACCGCCTCTGGTGGATGCGGTAAAGCTGGACACCAGCAAACAACCACCGGTCGTCTATGAAGATTTGAGCATTTAACTTGGATTTCAGGATGGTATTTCCGGCTTTACCACTCACTTGCACTGCTCACACTTGTCGCGCTTGTCGGGCGGATCGGCGCTGATGCCGACGAGATCCATCCAAGCTTCATTTTCGTTCGTTTCCATTGAATAAATTAAATTAAATGCTGGAATTAAAACTCAGCTGAAGATACTCGCAGAATCAACCGTGAAGGAGTGACAACCCTGGCCGCCACATGGCCAACCCAACCACCCTGTGCTTGCAACAGCTGTTATTAGCAGAAGGGAATCAGCGTACATGCGATGGAAAGTTACTGAAAAAGTGATTTTTATTTATATTTAAATTTAGTGACCCTTAGTACTGATAACTATCATATCCATCGATTTGAGAAAAAACAAATAGAAAGAGAACAATTACAATAGAGGTATTAATAAAAAAAAATTATATAATTAAGCAGTTTCAATTTATCCACTAATTTACGATCACTGCACATTGTCAAATCTTTTACGCATAAACTTTGCAGTAAAGCTTTCTGTTTTCTATTTAGGTTTTATACATGAATTAAACTAGTTGTTAGGCTTAAAGATTTAAAATTTTTAGTATAATTTAAGCAAAATGCAGAGTATAGGCTGGACGCTGATTATGAAACGCGGCTGCTTGTGCCGAAAGGAGACCCTGAACATCAACGGATCTCGTTACACGGTCCGGGAAAGGCTAGCCCAAGGGTTTGTATTCCAGTATATAGCACTATCTCATTAAAAATATCTAATCTCTTACTAACTCTGTCCATACAGGGGCTTCAGTCTCATCGACCTTGGAGAGAACGCGGCTACGCGCCGGAGCTATGCGATCAAGCGCATCACCTGCCACAGCATCGACGACCAGAATATAGCCCTGCGGGAAATCGAGAACTGCCGGAAAATTGACTCGGAGAACGTCATCCGTGTGGTGGACTACGAGCTGAAGGGTCAGGCGGACATTGTGATCAACACCACCAGCACCTTGTTCATCGTGCTGCCCTATTACAAGCATGGAGCTCTGGCGGATCATTTGTTGGTAAGGGCGCGGAAACAGGACCACATGCCCGAGGCGCAGATCCTACAGATTTTCCTGGGCGTCTGCGAGGGACTGAAGGCCATTCATGAGGCAAAGCCGGTGCCGCTGGCCCACCGGGATCTAAAAACTGCCAACATCTGTCTCTCGGACTCGTTCGAACCCATCATCGTGGATCTGGGCTCCATGACCGAGGCACGGCTGCAGATCGTGGGTCAGTCGGATGCCCAGCGGCTGCAGGACGAAGCGGAGGAGAGGAGTTCCATTGTTTACCGGGCCCCTGAGCTTTTCACCGTGAAATCATACTGCACCATCGACGAGAGAACGGATATATGGGTGAGAGATCCATATACATCTATATAAATGCTTAATAATATTCTTATATCAACTGAAATTGTCTTTTCAGAGTCTCGGATGTGTGCTGTACGCAATGTGCTACTTTAACTCACCCTTTGATCCCATCTACGAGCGAGGAGACAGCGTGGCCTTGGCCGTGCTAAGCGGCAATGTAAACATTCCAGAAGATTCCATCTACACAGATGTAAGCAAATCTTCTGAAGCCTTACGAATACATTTATTAAATCCCATCTCTTTCCACAGGACATGCATGAATTAATCAACTATATGCTACGCACCGATCCAATGGAACGACCGTTCATCTTCAGTGTCATCGAGCGCACCCACGATCTGATACAGAAGCTTGAGGGTCGCTTGTAGCTCCCACTTACTGGATTCCATCTCGTCTAAACGCATTTCATAAGCCAGATACACCGCTAACTGTTTTTTGACTATGTATTATTGTAACATAATTGTAAACCTGCAGAGATTTTTGTGAAATAATGTCTTATTAATCTAGCTTTTTATTTGTTTAGTCTAATACTAATGTTCGTCGCGGGTCAGTCCTGGACAGTTGGAGTCTAGATCTGCCGAACCCTCGTAATGCGTTCCACACCAGTAGCAGAACGAGTAGGCGGTCCGCAAGTAGCCAGTGAGGAGCTCCAGCTGTTCGACTGGAGTGTATTGTTCCTCTTTGGGCGTCTCCTCTTCTTCGGTCGGATCATCTTCTTCGGGATCGCTATCCCCTTCCTCCTTTGGCTGGGGTGGCCAGAAGAATTCCAAATCTGGCAGAGTAACACCGGCTTTTAGATCCAAGGACTCGCAGGTTTGTTGGCATCTCCTTATGTCGTATTGCAGCTTCCTCTCCTCAGCTTTTTGAGTGGCACGTCTTCTATAGGCTTCCGTGCTGATCTCCTCACCGGATTCAATGCCCGCCCTTTGCAAGAGATGTGCTCTTCTTATTTCCTGTCGCTTGGTAGCCAACTCTGCAACGGCCGCATCCCGTCCTAGGCCTCCACGTCCTGTTTTTATCGTTATTCCCACAGGTTCTTTACGAGCATCGGGTTGTTTTCCCAATCCAGATCCCGCTTTGTAGCCCATTTTTGCCAGGAGTTGAAAACCCTTGTTGTCCGTCGACAGCGGTTGGCTAAGGGATTGCTGGAGACGTGCATTGTCCACGGTACCAGAAGAAGCAGTAGCCTCCCTTTGTCTTTTCCTTTGCTCCTCTTTTTTTGTTTCAACTTCAATCTGTCTTTTCTTGCCCCGATCCTGGACCAGGCTGGGACGCACCTCCTGCAAGCTGTATGGAAAAATACAACTTAGTTAAATTTCTCTACCTAATCTTTTCTAGATCTCACCCAGCCAGGAATTTGTCCGACATATAATCATCTTCTTCGTCAGACATTTGATGCTTCAAAGGTGCAGTAATAACAAATTCGCAAATGAAAGCACGGAGAGTTAAGTTAATTTTCAAAATAAAAACAATAATAAGACCGGTGTTTTTATCCTATTGTGTGATAGTGTGACCAAAATCCATTCTTAATCAGCTGGACCCAAGGCCTTTATAAACTGTTATATGTACATAGTTATCGAATTTATCTGTTGGCGCCAAAATTAAATTTAATTGATTTCTAGTCTTATTGAAGTTAAAGATTTGTTAATTTTTCTCACACAAAAAAAAGAAGGATTATGAAAAACCTTAAGTGGTATGTAATTTCATAAACAATTTTATATTAACTTACTGAGCGGTTATTGACACTTTTACATAAAGCAAAAGTAAGCTCATCTGTTTAATGTCATTGTGTTTTGAATGTTTTATTGCTAATCCCCACATCTTGTTTCTGCACAAAGTAAGTTGGCGATAATTTAATATCCCACAAATCAAAAATACTGCCACTAAACCCACAGGAAAGATGACGTATGAATACCATTCCGCCTTACTGAGTGCTGAGCGCCGAAATGTGCAATTGGAGAACGCCCGTGCAGCTATAGACCTTGGATCAATTTCCGTGGCCATCACAGCGTGCAGCGGCGTGGTCATTGCTGCAGATAAAACGCCCCCATCGCCGCTATATGATGTGGACAGTGTTCGCCGCGTGGAAATGATAGCCAAGCACATCGGCATGGTTTACTCGGGAGTAGATCCAGACTACCGCATCCTGGTGATAGCGGCCCGCAAGGTCGCCCAACTCTATTACCTGACCCATATGAATCTGATCCCGGTAAAAGAGTTGGCAAAATGCATGGCTATCATCATGACGGATCACACCAATCTCTATGCGGTTCGGCCATTTGGCGTTTCGCTATTAATCTGTGGCTGGAGCGACGGATGTCCACAGGTCTACAAAGTTGATCCTTCGGGGCTGTACTCCGCCTGGAAGGCATATGCCCAGGGAAAGAATGCGGTTCATAGCAATAACATGCTGGTGGATCGGTATAACGAAGTATTGAACACCGACGACGCTGTTTACACCGCCCTCCAGGTGCTGTGGCAGAGTGGCTGCGAAATGATTTCCGACAACATCGAGATCGCAATTTGCAGTTCGAACGGATATCGCCGTCTGGACCACGGATCAATTCAAAAGCATATATCCCGTTTTTGCTCCTAGTAAACGGTTTTTATAGCGTTATATTATGATTTTAAAAATATATAATCAATAGGTTAATTTTAATTATATTTGAAAATTATTTTAAATTGTTTTTAAATTGTGTTATTAACCAAAAATAATTTAAATAATAATTTAAATATTAATACTAAACCAAAAATACCGCCAAGTCGTCTGAATTGCAGTTGGCAGCACGTAAGCAGCTGTTTTGGTTTTTTTTTGCAAGTGGACAGTCCCCTTAATTTCCCATGTGCTTCTTGTCAACATTTCGTGGATTTCGGTAAAAATTAATTAAAAGCAGCAAAATGGGCACTGTAAGTACTTTAATTTACCATATATTTCTAATAATGATCTATTGCAACCGTTTACCTGCAGAAAAAGGTGAAAATCAGCTCGGTGAAGCGAGCGGCTCACCTCAAGTCGAAGAAAACACCGCTCTCGAAGCAGCAACAACAAAAGAATAAGCAGAAGCGCGACCAACTGCTATCCAAGCGGGAGCAGGGCCAGAATATATTCTCTCAGAAGGCCCGGAAGAAGGATAACCTGGCCCAGCGGAAAAAGCACAATAAACTAGCCTCCCTGGGACTGAATCCTCTCGAGCAAGATGACAATGAAGACGATGACGATCAGATGCTGGACAATGTGGCCGACATGCTCGACGGCGACGACTTGGCTCTACTGCAAGCCAACAAGCGCAAGCGAAAAGCCAAGAATGACGACGAAGACGGGGCTGACCAGCAGGCTTCTATTGGCTTGGAAAGGGCCTACACCTCGGACACGAAGAAGGAGCAAGCGGCGCAGAAGATTAAGCTGGATTTGCTGCCAATTAAATCAAGAGATGGTCAGATCATCACCCGAACCACAGAGGTTGATTATCTGCCAAAGCCCAAGCTCAAGAAGAGGGATGAAGAAGTGGAGGACGTAGAGGATTCCGAAGAAGAGGAGGACGGCGACACCGAGTTCGAGGACAGCGACGACGATGTGGTCAACGATGACGAGGCAGCATCAGCAGCCAAACATGTTCCAAAGCTCATTTCCACGACGGACCTGCTGATTGCTCGCCAGCAGGAGATCGAACGGCAAAAGTATCGCATAGGAATCATTTGCTCTGGGTTGCTCGAAAAGCCCGAGGATAAGATGCGTAATTTCCATGCACTCTACGAGCTTATGGACGAGATAAACCCAGCTACTAAGCTGCCCAACCTGATGCCCGTACGGAAACTGGCCATAATATCCATAACGGAGATCTTTAAGGACATTCTGCCCGAGTATCGTGTTGGCCAGGTGGACACCAAGATGCAGACACTGCGTAAGGCCACTCTAGAGCGTGTAACATTTGAAAACGCTCTGCTACAGCAGTTCAAAAAGTTCTTGCAGAAGCTGGAGCATCTCACGGCGCAGGTGAACAAGAGAGGCGGTCTGAGGACGCCACAGACTATCAAGTTGGCCACCGTGGCTGTGCAATGCATGTGCGAACTGTTGGTGGCGCATCCCTACTTCAACTACGTGCAAAACATAGCTCAGCTGCTTGTCTACATGTTGAACTGCAATTACCAGGAGATGAGAACGGCGGTCAACGAGTGCTTCCGAACTGTCTTTGCCAACGACAAGAAATATGAAATGGCCCTCTTCATTGTGAGGCGAATCAACAACCTTATTAAGACGAAGCAGAACAATGTCCATGTCGAGTGCATCACCTGCCTGATGGGTCTGAAGATTAAGAGCGTAAATCTGGATGCCGAGAAGGAGAACGAGCTGAAGCAAAAGAAGCTGGAATCGCACCGTCAACGTTTAATTAGTCTGTCGAAAAAGGAGCGGAAGAGGCGCAAGAAGCTCACCGAGGTGAACAGGGAACTGGAGGAGACCCGTGCCGAGGAGAACAAGCAGGCCAAGAACCTGAAGCTCACCGAGATCATCAAGATGGTATTCACCATCTATTTCCGTGTGCTGAAGAACGATCCCACATCTCGAGTGCTGAGCGCGATTCTGGAGGGTTTGGCAGAGTGAGTTTCCTTTACCATACTGCTCGTAGACTCCGATCCCCAATCATTGATTATATTACAGATTTGCTCATGTCATCAATCTTGACTTTTTCGCTGACCTCATCGATGTGCTTAACCGCATTTTGGAGGAACAAGAAGAGCTGGGCTATCGGGAGCGACTGCACTGCATTCAAACTATATTTGTGATTCTGTCCGGCCAGGGTGAGGTGCTGAATATCGATCCCATCCGATTCTACCAACATTTCTACCGGAATATGCTGGCCGTGCAGGCTGGCAAGAACCACGACGATTTTGCCATTATACTGCGCACCTTGGACGAGGTGTTGGTAAAGAGGAGGCGGAATATGAGCCAGCAGCGTTTGATGGCGTTTGTGAAGCGCCTTCTGACGGGCAGTTTGCACCTTCTTCACAACGGCACCCTTGCGACGTTGGGTACCATCAAACAGACCTTCCAGCTCACTTCAGTGCTCGATGCTTTGCTGGACACAGACACTACCATCGGCTCTGGCCGCTACGACCCCGAACTGGACGATCCAGAGTACTGCAATGCGTCCAGCACGGCATTGTATGAGCTCGCCCTCCTGTCGCGACACTATCATCCCACGGTGCGACGGATGGCTATGCATATAGCCAACGGAGTTCCAGCCTCCGGTGAAGGAGCGCTACCCACCGATATCGGCAAGCTGTGAGTATTTAATACGTTCATATTATGAATATATTATTATATATTCTTATAATTCATCATTTTTAAGCTCATCGCACGACCTGTTCGAACAGTACGACAGTACGCAGATGGCGTTTAATCCGACGATACCACTGCCGAAGGCGGGTCAACCCAAACTGAAAAAGGGCAAGCAGCTATATATACGATCAGATTTCAAGCAGGAATACGGAAAGCTGTTGAGAGAGGGCAAAGCTTCACAGAGTAAAGATAAGAACATACTACAAATTGATTTTCTTAGTGCACTCCAATAAAGTATGTTAAGAGATTTTAAGCTTGAATGATTAGACAAATTAAATATAATGTAAAAAGAAAGAAATTATTTCTGAAGTTCACTTTAACAACGGCATCAGTTGGATAGTACTCAATACTTTTCTTTGATTAATAAATCATCAAATTTTACTATTGAAAAGATTACCATAAAAGATGGCGGTGCCTCTTGCTTTTGTAGATAACTTTTCATTAAATGTTTTTTGTCAATGAGGTTTCTTGTAGTATATTTCAATGCTTGGGTTCTAAAACTAACCATAAGGGTCTATGCTCGGAGCTCCTAACAATTTAAAAAGAAGTTAAGCCTAGGATAACTAAATCTAATGCCATAAATCCGGGTACAAGTGCCAGGGGTCGGAGGTGTTGCGTCAACTATGCGGTGGAGCCACCACCGCGCTGCCGTTGCTGTCCAGCGCTGGCCGGTGGCAGATACTCTCGGTTTCCGCTGGCTTGGGGCTGTTGGCCAAAGGTAGCCAATGAGCTCTCGGGGAGTGTTCCAGCGGCGGTGGCCAGCAGACCGGCGGCAGCTGCAGTCGGTGCCAAACGATTTGTCCCACCACCTGGGACAATGGCGGGCCGGAGGACGGCACCGGCACCGTAGGGACTCTGAGCCTGGACGGTGGGTGTGGGCGTAGCCGAGGGATACGAACCCCTTCCAGCATTGTAGCCAGCCACTTGAGTTGGAATTGCGGTGGCGCGAAGGGTTCCAGCTGTGGCAACAGGTGCTCCGAAGGCAGTTGTGGTAGCGGCACTCGGTCGATATGCGTTGGCATTGGACTGTGTGGCCAAGTTGGAGCCACTTCGTTCGGAGTAGTCGTAGATGTAGGCGTTGTTGGCATATAAACTAGGTGCCGAGACGCAGTCATATTGATTCCACCACACACAGACCAGCGTCTCCTGGCTAAACACGGTGCCATTGGGACACAGGAAGGAGTACGTTCGGTTGAGGGCGCAGATGTGGAAAACCTGACACTGGGCTTCGATGTCAGCGTAATATCCGGGCAAGGCCTGCTGCAAACAGTCGAAATTCGTGCGTGGCACCTGGGCGTAAATGGGATAGTCCACTCCCGGCACACCCGGAATGGCTGAGTAGTCGCCATCGGCATCGCTGTAGTCTCCATTATCCGCACCAGTTGTCCCACTGGGAACACGAATGGCAGAGCCGCCAGGTGCGTTGCCATACTGCGGCGTCTGTGGGCCGTAGGGACCACTACGTGAGGATGGCGATGGTATTCCTCCCGACGCAGGTCTCCTGGGCTGGCTAATAGTGTTACTCGGTCCCACTGCGGCAGGTGCACCAAATGCCGTGGTAGCCTGACCGCTGGGCGTAAAACCAACGGCGGGTGAGGGAAAGAGGCCCGCTCCTCCATACGCAGTGGTGGCCGGAGCAGGGGTCAGTGGAAGAGCAGCCGCCGTGGGATATGGACCGGGGGTTAAGCGACCCCCAGCGGTGACTCCACCCACACTGGCCACCTCGGGACGGCCATAGTTATAGCCACTTTGAGCCTGTCACAAAAGGGTTTAAATAAATAAGGTATATTAGGGAGAAGCTCCCAAAGGACTCACCTGCACCTGTAACTGGGCCAGACCGCCACTCCAGAGCAGCACCAGAACTGGAAGAAACATACGGGCCAACATTAGCGCTTTCTAATCTTGTTGGTGTGTGTGTGTGTGTGTGTGTGCGCGTTTGTGTGCGGAATCTGGCGAAGATCTGCTCCGAGCTGTGGAACCGACAACGCACCAAATCGAAATGAACGCCTGGCCAGCCATCGAAGGCGGTGGTACCAAAGAGTTTCGCAGTCCCTATTAAGGCCAAGTACGTCGCGATTCTGGGCGCTGATAGTGCGGCCAAGACGTCTCTGCACTGCGATCTTTATTTATCAGCTTCCTACTCCTACTCCACCAGCACAGTGGTATGAAATCCATTCAATAAAAAAAAAGGAAACAAGCTTTGAGAAGACAAAGTTTATGTACCCAATTATAGGATAGTATCGAAAATCAATCATAACTAAGCTTCAAATGTCGACACTTTGAATCGATATTTATTGATATTTTTATATGACAAAATTTTCGCAAATCAATTTTTTAAAAACTCATTACTAAGCAAAAAAAATCATTAAATTCCATTCGGAAAGCTTTTCTATGTTAGTTTTTATAAGGTTAATAAATCTGCATACTCAATTTTAAATTTTAGAACATTAAAATTTTGGACAATTTTTGAAAAAATTTTAAAAAATTTATTTTTATATCGGACATGGCTAGATTGACTCGGCTATTGATGCTGAGCAAGAATATATATAATTTATAGGGTCGGAAATGACTCCTTCACACTTTTACAAGCTTCTGACTAAAATTATAATGCTCTGCAAGGATATAGAAGTGAATCAATTTATGTTTTTTTTATACCGAAGACTATCAACATAAAGATGCAAAACGCTATACCATTTATGTGCACTCGAGAGGAATAAACCTTTTAAGCTCAGCTCATTATGTGACAGCTTTATTTCTAGGGATACCAAAGTGAGTTCTACATTTTCTAGACATTAAGTTACTTGAGGATAAGTTAAGTTTGATTTCTTTTAAAAACAAGAACTCATCTTACCACTGTGGCAATTGCAGCAATAACGCACCACAACATCAATTGGCTGCCAAGAATTGCGGCAGACGACGGGCCAAAGGCAAGACGCATGCCTCGTAAATATGCAAGGCAGCAAAAACTTAGACAGACAGACGCCCCTCGAAAGGAAGTGGTAATAGTGATGAGGCGGACAGCCGATCGCTCGTCACTCTTGAGTTACGCGCCGTGTTAGATTGGGTTGGGGTTGGGTCTGGGTCAGCTCTAGATGCGGCTTGTTGGCCAACTTACCTGCCAAGACGCACGAGCAGCGCTGCAGCGTTGCCCCCTGCACTTGCATCATTGGAAAATATGATGGTTTCTCAACAAAGATATCCTTAATATCCTTTTCTGTTCCCACGACGATGTGCTGCTGCGAACTGTCCAAACCCTGAGAAACAACTGCAGGTCAACTTAGAACGCCGCTAGAATTTTATACCAGTTCCTCCGGCTGACTTGGATGCATCGCATCTTTTTGGAATATTTATGTGGCAGCTGGCCCGAAGAGCAGCGACAGTTCATCAGTTCGTTTGTGCTTGCGCTTTAGCAGATTTACGACCCTGGATTATCCATTGTTGTAGCGGCGTCCAGTTATCAGAATTCATATATCAGCGCGACCCTACGTGACGTATACGTAATATAAGTTACGTATAAGCCGATCAATTCAATATTATGGCCATTTCAAGTGCAATGCAATCGCAGTTCGATCCGGACTTGTCCTTGGGGCAGTAAATTCGATTTTCTTGCAAATGCATTCGCTAGCAATGACAAAAATATTTAAATTTCGACTGATTACACGGGTATTTTACGACTCTTGTGGGGCTCGACCTTACCTCAATGATTTATATTGGAGCCGGAAAATGGAGAAGCCATCGTTGCATTTGTGTCAAGGCGATGTCGGAGGCTTTGGGAATAGTTAAGTTGACTTAATGCCAGTATAGTAATGATTTAATCAGTTGACTAAACAATTGCAAGCCATCACCCATATATTTTCCAACTAAAAGAGCATTACGATCAATCTTATTTTGTATTTACGTTTATATGTACTTTATTAAGTTTAAATAAATATTTACAAACAGAGACAGCAAGACGTACACAGATTGTTCAAATAGATCGCTCCTACTGGATACTGAATGGAAAGAGTTCTCGTTCGCTAAGACTAAGCAGTAAGACACTAATTTAATACAACTCTCGATTAAACTTAAACGGAAGCCGCTTGGCTGGGCACCAGGAACAACCAAGTCGAGGAGAAGGAGTATTTCAGGGCTCTCATCGTTGAGTATTTCGTTTACATATTTACAAACTAATTGCGCAAATTGCATTGGCTAAACGAAGACAATTAACAAGTAACTGGTTCAAAGTCATAATCAAAATCATAAGGGATTAAATTAAAAGAAATCAAATTGAAATCGTGGAAGGGGGAAACTCAAGGAGGAGCTGGAGAGTGGAGTTGACTAAAGTTAGGCATTAACTCGCAAGGTTTCGTGCACCGCTAGGAACCGCCACCGCCCTCGCTCTACCGCCTGCTGCTGAACTTGGACGCCAGCGAATATAATGACTTGAGCAGCTCCAGGGCCCGCCGATCCGAACTGACCTCCAGCAGGGGCGCCGTTGTCGTGGTGCCCTCCTCGAGCTCCTCGACGCGGATCTCGAACTTGGTGGTTTCCTCGTAACTGCCTGCCCCCAGCCCTGTTGTCGTGGTGGGCAGATCCGTTGTCGTCGTGTATCCCGGAGTGGTGCTGGTGAAGTACTCGCCACCGGAGGCGGCTCCGCCACGTCGGAAGGTGGTCACTGGGATGCGATTCGTTGTGGTGGTCAGTCGCTGCCTGGAGGTCTTTCCTCCGGCCGCCGTCTTGCTGTCAATGTCGATAAGGGCGTTCAGGAGATGCTTCCTGCTACGTTCCAGCGCCTTTCCATTGTGGTCGTCACAGGTCTGGATGAGCAACAGCAGGAGACTGAGTACCTGGCGATCATGCTCCGCCTTGGCCATCACATTCCGCAAGTGCAGTGCCTCCTGCTCGTTGAGTCCTCCAAATAGCTTGTTGGCTATCCTCTGCAGGCCGCTACTGGAGGGCAGGGCGTCCCTGGGAATATCGTAGCTCCGGAAGATGTCCTCCCACTCATAGCGAGATGGCGTAGGTGTGGTCACCCTATAGGCGAACGGTGAGGGTGTTGTCGATGTCGTTGTCGTGGTACTGGTGGTCGAGGTACGTTGCTCCTTCATCAGACCATCGTTGATGGTCAGAGGATCCAGAAAATCAGTCTGCGATTTAAGAGCCCACGGGTGCTCGGTGGGCTTGTGAGTGGTCACTAGCTTCTGGGGCCTAGCATCCTTCAGCAGATCGTTACGGGACTTGACAAACGACTGAGTTTGCTGCTGCTGCAGGAATTCCTCTCCAGAGTCTTGACTGGGTGGCGCCAGCTCCCCCGAGAACTCCAGTTCCTGGCCTCGATTCGTACTGGCCTCGTATAGCTCGGTGGTGGTGGAGTACTCTGGAGCGGGTGTGGAGTCGAATTTGTGATTGATCTCGGCGGCAATGCTGTTGGGTGTGGGCGTGGTCTGCTCGGGCAATCCCTTGGTGGGCAGATAGTACTTGGCCGTTCCATCGCTGAACAACGAGGGATCCGTTGTGGTCACCGGCCGGAAGTTGGGCGTGCTTGGGGGCTCCGTAGGACGAGCTCGGGCAGCCAGTTCTGCACGGAAGGTAGCTGGGTTGTCCAAATAACTCGACAGAGCGTTGGAGAAGATCTGAGCGATCTTGCGAGACTCTGGCTTCTCTGCCAAAGCACCAATCGTTGAACCTGTGCTACCGATCTGGGGGAACTGTTGGTACTTTGAGCCAGACTCGTTCTGGGTTCCATTCGGTGGGTTGGAGAGCAGTCCAGCACTTATGTCTCCTTCTCCGGCACCGCGTCCTTGGGCTGCCTTCAGGCCAAAGAGATTGCTGTACTTCTTGACAGTAGTGTCACTCAACAGGCTCTTCTTAATGTCATCCGCATTCTCACTAATGGCTGGAGGATTCTCGGAGGTGGTGAGCAGGGCAGTGGCGTCCGATGGCTTGATTGTCGGTAGCGGTGGCTTCGCAGACAGTTTGGTCTTCACACCGTTCTTGTCCGTCTTATCCGACTTTACATTCGGATTACCCAATGCATTGCCGGTCTCATTATGTTCCTGAGCAAAGTACTTGGCCAGAGACACCAGGGCATCGGGCCCTGAGGATGGCGGGATCTCCAGGCCAACTCGGGCCGGAGCTGCTGCCGCAGCATTCAATTCCACGTCCTCAAACTGATCCTTCAGCAGGTTCATGGTCTTCAGCATTTCCTGCACATTGCGATAGACCGATTCCTCCTTCACGGGATTGGGTGCGAACAAAAGGACATCTTCTCCGGCAGCGCCTGCCGCATTGCCCCTAGGAGACTTGCCGCTCTTGGGCAGATAGGTGGGTCCGCTGCTGGTCGCCGATGGAGGTGGAGTAGTTGGCAAATAGTCGCGACTCTCACTGGACTTGGCGGGCGGACGGTATTCGCCGGAACTGGCCACATCGTAGTGGTGCCTCATGCCAATAATCACTGGCTTATAGGTGCTGTCCAGTTCGATACTGGCACTAGCAGTAGGCTTGACCTTAGGCGCCGCCGATGACTCCAGGAAGATACCTGAACTGGCTCCTCCAAAGCGGTTAGGATTAGGTGTCGTTGCCACATGGCCACCCTTGATGTAGTTCAGCTTTCCCTCCGTGCTCTTGGACTTCACCAAGCTGGGCACTGTGGGCGTGTAGAATGGCGTGGATTTGCTGGGCTCCAGGCGACGGACAGTGGAGAAGCCTCCGCCGGTGTAGTGTGGCGTGGTCTGCTGCACAGATCTGGTGGAGTGAGCCTCAAAAAATTCGGGTTTCTCCTTAAGCTGGATGGAAGTGGGCTTCTCCTTGGGCTGAACGGGAGCTGACTTCTCCTTCTCCTTGCTGTGCTCCTCGCTGCCACTGTAACGATGCTGACCCCTCTGGCCATTCCTGGCTCTCTCGGTGGAGACACCTCTCTCCTGGGAGGCAGCCGGAGTTCTTTGGCGTGAGGGTTTCAATACAGTCAGGTCGTCGTTGCTGTTGCGACTGGGATTACCTTGCTCCTTGTTGGCCCTTCGCTTTCCAGAGCCACTGACAAAGGAGGAACTTTCAGCTGTGATCTGTGTCTCATGGTCATTATTGTTGTTATCGATGCTGGGCAGAACCTTTCGCTTCTCTCCGGAAACATCATCAAAATCCACGCTCTCCACGGAGGCGGGTACATCCTCTGTGGAATCGATACGTCTGTCGGGATTGGAACGAGGTCCAGATCTCGCCTGACCAGCAACAGGAGTAACCTTGGGCTTAATGTTCAGACCACCGCCCACAATGTTGAAGCCCTGAACAGGAACCGAGGGACGAACGCGATGCACTCGCTGCTTGTTCAAGATCTCTGCACTTTCCGCATAGTAACCCGAGGAACCCAGACAGTTCACTTTGAACCACCAGTCGCAGGTGAGCTCGCTCTGCTGGAAGATTGTGCCATTTGGACATAGGAAGGAAATCTTGCGGCCCTCTTCGCAGATGTGGAAGACCTGGAAGACAAGGTTACATTAGGGGTATTTTATTTAACAATTTAAGATTGATATTTTTACCTGACAATCCGTTTCCATGTCGGCAAAGTAACCATTTCCATAGGAGCGACAGCTGAAGGAGGTCTTGGGAATGCGTGGATAGATGGGAAAATCTATGCCAGGCCGTCCCACTACTCCCTGGTACACCTCGTAATCCACATCCTCATCCGAGGCGCGCTTCTTCAGGTGGTGCTTGTGCTCATTGCAGTTCGTGTGCGCCTCATACCGCTCCTCCTCGAATTGAGTGGCCCCCGTTTGTTTGGCCAATATCCGAGCAGGAGTCCGGTACTATATATAGAAAAGTTGATAATTAATAAATATAATATTCTGCCAGAGTTTGATTGTAATTTACCTTTGATTCAGCGCTGGTTAGGCCCAGGAATGCTAGTACTAGCAGGGCTGTAATGTTACAAATTATTGATAAGTAAACTAATAATAAATTATTAAGAAATAAATGTTGATTTTTAAAGATTATAAAAGTATTTTAAAGAAGTATGACATTAATGAGAGTTTGGGTGTGAATTACTTTATCCAGAATAGATTCATTTAACTCTGTGGCCTGTCTAATTCGTTTTCTTTTTATTATTTACTAGTAATTAATTATTGAACTCTTCTCAACTATGCATTACCATTAATAATTACTGTCTTCAAGTTTTTTATAGCTATTTATTTAATGGAACTTCTTGACATCGCTTGTTAACAATTTAAGAGGAATTCGTTTAATGAAACTTTTCTGGCTACACCATAATTAGGTTTTTTTGTGAGAACATCTATTTGATTTTTTTGGCATTCTCTGGACAATCTCAACACAAAGCCAGGTTCCTCAACTTTTCAGGTTTCGATTCTTCGTTTAGAATGTCTTCTCGATGTCGGACAGCGAGGGAGACCTTGACTTTTCCATTCAACTTGGATGTCAGACACTGTCAAATTACGCAAGAAAACTTTGGCTACTGGGACTGTGACTGGGACTGGCTGGAAGTGACTGACCTCAGGCCCCCCCTAAATCCGAATGCAATAATTAAATTTTAAAGCATAAAAACAATTAAAGAAAGAAACAGAAATAAAAAGTCATGATGAACTGCGGCTTAAGTAGCTGCCGGACAGAGGAAGCTGAGGTCGCTGAGGAAGATGTCTCGGCTTTGCGAGGGGCGATTGAATAACCAAAAATAGCCGCTAGATTCAAGGCCCACTTGCAGCATAATCAAAGCGATTAAGTGAATCATCAGAGGAGGAGGAGTAGGAGACCGGGTATGGGCTGCTTTATTCAAATTAAACAATTGCCCATAATTTGTGCCCGCTGATTGGCGGCGAGCGGACTCAAAATCGAACGGTCGCCTCATCAAGTATACGCCATGAGTACTCGCATCAATTTCGAATCTGGCGCTCCGCCACGTCTCTGGCCCCCAGTCCTCGATCGGGTTCGTGCCACTCACAGCGGGATGGACCGCGGACTTAATTGAGAGGCGCTGTCGATGGGCGCGTAATTACTCACATACAGCAACGGCCATTGTGGGTTTTATTCGCCGCTCCGCCGGTCCGCGAGATGAGCTGTCACTTATGCCCGATCTGGCATCTGGGTCTCGGCCAACACGCCCGTCCTAATGAGCCGTTAAAAATGGCATTTCCCAGGCGTTCCACCGGCCAATCCATTAATTCAAATCAAAGTCACATTTAATCTGAATCTGAACTATGTTTTGTTGTTTTTCTTTTCAATTTCTTTTTGTCGCACGCCAAGTCACTCAACTAACAACTAAGAAATATGGCTCACGCAACTGGCTAAGACAAAGGCGCATTAACGCAATATCGCCCACGCTTAGAGGCACACGCATAGCTTCACCGTTAGTTTGAGACTGATCTATGATGGGAAAATTATGATCTGACAAGGTCAAGGATGCTGCCAATTCATAGAGTTGGTTTTTAGTTGGTCAAATTGCGTAAAACTTGATAAAGTTAATGAATTAATATTAATTAAATTAAGTTTATTATGTAGGGTATTTAAATTTTATTCAGAAGCTTGTAAACTGTAAAGTAGTCATTTCCGACCCTATAAATCTTATATATTATTGATCAGCATTCAAAGCCGAGTCGATCTAGCATTGTCCGGTCAAAAAATCGATTTTTCAAAATTTTTCAAAATTTGAAACTTTTATAAGGGGTTACATCATTAAAATTGTCAAAAATTGGCAAAAATTTAAATTTTCTAAAATTTAAAATTGAGTACGCAGATTTATTAACCTTATAAAAACTAACATAGGAACGCTTTCCGAATTGAAATTAATGAATTTTTGGCTTACTTATGAGATTTTTAAACTTTGATTTATCGACAACAATGATCATGTTCAAATATTGATTCAAAGATTTCGAATATATTAAGCTTATTTATAATAGATTTCTAAATCAATCCTATAATTCAATTTCAAACTAGCAGGGTATATAAACTTTGTCTTTCCAAAGTTATTTTCTTTTCTTGTTTTAAGAATTCATTTCCCACAGAATCTCATTAAAATCGAATCATTATTGAACCTTTCGACTTACCGCATATGAAGCTGAGCTGCGTACACCGCATTTTGTAATTGGAATTGCCTGAAAAGATAAAGAGGGAAGCAGAAAGGCAAATGTTTAGCTAGTTAACAAAATTATGAATATTTATTGCACAAGATCGTGGGAGAAGCCCGAAAAGAAAGAAGCAGCGAAATAATTACTGCCAAAAACACGTACACGCCGCGCAGGCGCCTTATTGGGTAATGGAAATTATACAAAAATAGCGGCTGAAATAATAATAAATGTACTCGGGGGCTTGCACAAATCAACATCAGCATCAGTGCCGAGCAGAAGCACCAAAGAAGAGTTGTCAATGTGCCGAAGAAGACAAAGACTCTCAGCGATTGCATAATTCGGCGACGCCCACAGACGCATGCAGAAATTTACGACAGATCGTTAGATATATCCATATCTGCCCAGCCATACTAGGGGATAGTCAGATATGCAGATTCGGAGATTCGCAAATTTGAAGATTCGGAAATTCGCAGAGTGTGTGTACCACGGGGCGCATGCGCAATAAGTTATTACACTTTAGGCCAAGTTGGCTGCCCAGGAACAGCTGTCAGGCGCCAGGCCAGGAGCCCCTCAGTCACTCAGAGCCAGCCAAGTCGGAGCAGTCAGTAAGGCAGTCAGTTAGTCAGTCAGTCAATCCCCGGCAGACATTCACTTCGGAAAGAGCGAATAAAGCCGGCTTCCGTCAGCTCATTTTTGCAGCTGTTGTCGCTGTTGTTGTTCCCGTAGTTTCTGCGTACTTTGCATAATTTTAAATAATTGTTTTAATTTGCACAACAGCAAACAATATCAAAACTTGGGGAGAGATCAGGGAGACCAACCAACCAACCGGCCTGGCCCGGTGACACTCTTTCAATTAAATCATTTTCAATGGGTTTTCGGGCAATTTGGTCGCCGTCAAGACAATAGATCGGTTTGGCTTTACGTAACGCGGCTGGCTATTTTCAATAACAATGCAAAATCGAACAGAATCTCGGGGAACATAAATTTAAATTGAAATTAGCTGCAGTTGATACTGGCTTTAATGCATTGTGTCTGCTGTGGATTCTTCTTCTTTGGTTGCCGAAATTGCTTTTTGTATTTAAATTAAGTTGATTGCCTTGGCAGCAGCAGCGTCACTGTTCTCGTCTTCGCTGTTTGCATAAAATATTCTCACACCTAAATTTAATTTCATCAAAATAACGTAATGTACACAAAGTATAATTGCCGCAGCAACGGTGACTGTGGTAATACCTGGCACAGCTTGGCATTAAAATTTAATAAAAATTGTAAATTAAGTCGATTAACAAAGCACTTGGTTAAAGTTCAAGAGTTGCCCCGGTGCCTCGGTGTCTGCTGCACAAATCTTAATTTCAATTCACGATTCTCAATTTGCAATTACACGGCATCGGGAGTTTGTCATTGTCAAGGCTGTGCCAAAACGTCTTCGATTTGGCTTAAATGGCGTTTAGCTGGCCGAAGGTCAAATCGGATTGCATCAGTTGATAGAATTTATATAATGATTGCCTTTATAAATAACTGTTCATAAATTAGCATCGACCGCAAATTACTTCCTATCAGCGCATCCATTGGATGAAAATTAATCAAGCCGTTCACACAATAATTCATAAGAAAGCGAGGCAAGAAACTCAATCATCTTGAGCCTGAAAAATGCTCGACAACAACAATGACAAATAAGGAAGTTTCGCTGCTGAAAAAAAAAAGAAATTGTCAACGCAGGTGTTGTGCCGACACCAAGAAAAAAAAAATAATAATAATAAGCTAGCGCCAGTTAACAACCAGAGACTGAGGTTGCATTTTCCGCGCCATGCCGAGGGTCTTCGCCATCAAAAATTTCGGTTCCGCCTTCAACACATGCTCAGCGCTCGAGGCGATCGGATTGCTATGGGGGATTGGGATTGGAGACCGGGATCGGGGACTTGATGGAACTCCGAGACGGGATATGCCAAGGATCGATGCAGCCAGCGATTGCCCAGGTCGGTTTTGCCGCCTCAAGTGTGAGGCGTGAAGTGTGAGGAGTTCGAGGGGCGCACTCTCCGCATTGCAACCAAATGTCTGTTAAATCGTTTTAACCTTTTTGTCAAGTTGCCGCTTAACCTTTACGGTTGCTGAGCTGACATGAAGGAAGCATTTGTTTTTTTCCGCAGCTTTTCTTGCTGCATTGTGTTGTGGCCAAGTGTTGAAACCCGCACAGACTGCAGAGCACAGAGTACAGAGCATTGTAGAAACTAAAGCAGCGCCAAGCGGCTGCCTTCTTGTGCTCCCTTGGACCACATGTCGTATACGTGTTATTTGAAGATTTGATTTATTTGTTTTGGCTGTTCGTGTTGCTGGATCTCAACTGCTTATCTTGGCAAGTTGCCTTGCACTGGCTCATGTGTGGCCTTCTCCCACAAAGTCAGCGATGCTAAATCGTTTGTATTTCATTTTATTTGTAACTCGTGTGCACAGGCACCTTCAGCAACAAAAAAATACAAAACAGATAAGCTAAAAAGTGCAATAGAGGAAAATTTCACCTTTACCGAAATTCATTATGAAACGGCAATCCTGTTGCGAAAAATTGCATAAAGTCAGCGCATCTTCAATCGAAACAGTGGACTGGGTAACATCTGAAACTTGATTGGGACTTTTTGTTTGCTTAGCTTAACTTAGCTTAGCGATTGGGAGTGCCATGCAGGTGCGGATGGATATGCTGGTCATTTGGCTAATGGTGGGAGAGAAATTATTTTGCGAAAAGGCCATTGGCATCCTTGGGAATTGATTATTATTTTGGCGAATCACGAACGGCCTTTGGAGGTCTGGAAAGCCCACATGATTTGCACTCACTTATAGAAGGCAAATTAGTTCTGTATACTCATATAAAGACATATAATGATTTAAGAACTCAAATGTATTCAATTCAACGTTCTGGAAATTCCGAAATCATCTATATCTTCTTTTTAGATATAATCTCCTCACATTATTCCAGTTTCCTGCCTGAGTCATTTGTTTCTTCATCGCTAATCTTTGACTTGAGCTAATTTTATGCAAATTTCTCATAATTAATCACCGAAACGCTACCAACATTTTGCTATACATCTCAATAGGTTCTACAGCGATGATATTTCAACGAAGCTAAAGCCGAAACTAAAACAAACCCAAATTAAAATGCTAAACATTTTAAATGGCAACGCATAGTGGTCTCTGCTTGAGCTTTTCGGTTTTATAAACTGTGTGAAAAATGTCATTATAAATGCATAAAACTTAAAGCCAAGCAAATCACTTGGCTCTGGCTATGTTTCCCAGGCAAAAATGTTTTGAAAGTGCCCAGCTCCAGGCAGGCCCATTGTGCATTTTGTTTATTTATTTTTACAGCAGATTTGGCAAGACAAATTTGTTTGCTTTTGTTTATATACTTTTTTCTTTCCTAAAAAGCCTTACGAGACGGAGCAATTAAAGCCATATTTTATATTGGCACATCCGAGCAGATTAAGATCAGTTTTCGGGATTGCCCCAAATGATTCCCATTGTGGTGCTCATTTTGGGACTTATTTCTCTATTTTCTTGGACTTTCCTAGTCCCATAAATCACTCAAATGATGTGCGTTTTAATATTTCCATAATGTCTCTTTTTGGGGCCAGTACAAATACTCATAATTGGATTACTGAACAAATATTTGGCGCTGTCTCTGCTCAGGTACCTGCATCTCCGCTTCGAATGGCAGATGTTATGCGATGGCATGAGAAATGGGTCGGGACCTGAGTCTGACTTGGAAATAAACATATATCATAAACTGATGTGAGATAGGAAGAGTATATAGTAGGAGATGAAATAATAGTGGTATTTATAATAATTATGAAATTATAGTAAATTAGAAGAGCTTATGGTCTTTATACAAATAAAATATGTTGGCATTATAATTTATGGTTCAAATTGTATCTATACTTTAAGAGTTAATTTCTATATTACTCTTTCCGATGGTTAAGAATCTGTAAAAATTTTCTGTATGATTAATATATTTTTGCAGGTTATTATAATTTTAGTCAGATTCTTTAATTCTTTCTTTTGTTAAAACTTTAAAAACTACCACAGAACAGTTTTCTGAATTACAATTTATACATTTTTCGCTTAATTATTAAGTTTGAAAAACACTGATTATTTAAAAAAAATGCCTATTTGTTTACCTTTTTGCTGGCTATTAGTATTAACCAGAAGCTTATAACACAGTGAAGGAGTCATTTCCGACCCTATAAACCATATATATTCTTGATCAGCATCAACAGCTTAGTCGTTCTAGCCGTGTCTGGTCGAAAAATAAATTTTTGAAATTTTTTCGAAAATTTGAAATTTTTATAAGGGGTTACATCATTAAAATTGTCAAAAATTGGCAAAAAATTAAGTTTTTTAAATTTAAAAACTAAGTATGCAGATTTGTTAACCCAATAAAAACTAGCACAGAAATGCTTTCCGAATTGAAATTAATGCATTTTCGGCTTAGTTATGAAAGGTTGAAAATTCAAACTTTTGTTCCTAAACTCGACTTCCCGAATTAAAGTTAACTTCCTTTCTTGTTTATAAATACAATACCTTTGTAATTTCTATTCTCATACCCGCTACTGTCCTCATATATATTTCAAACCTAAAGCTTGTGACATTCTACTGAGTAAATAATTCATTAATCATAATTCGCTCGGTCGAAAAAATATGATTTTGTGAAACAAATGACTGTTTTGTGACATTTTGTATGTCTGACAATTAATCACAAAACTATATGTTCAAGTATCCCCTTGTATCGTGCCTTAAAGCTCAGTCGGGCACGCGGAACAATCACGAAAAATTCCAAGTGTGAATATGCGTCAGTAAAGACAGACAGACAGAGAGAGACATGTAAATTTTGCAATACCGAGACTTTTTGTTAAACACATTTTTTAAGCTACGAAAGACGCCTCGCAGATTCGGCAGATAGCTGGGGAAGTGGAGGCGGCCAGACGACGCCGCATCGTCTGATGGTGCTGCCTTTGGTGCCCCATGCTCCATGATGCACTGACCTACGTGTCGCTGATGCACCCAGACATGAGTGTGGCAGCAATTATTGCCGCCGCTGCCTTTGTTATTCTTGCGGCAACCTCACAGTTTTTGGGCCCCCAAAGTACCCCAAGGGGGCGCGGCATGGCGGTTGCATTTCATAGCCGCCAGAGTTCGACGTGCTAATAGATTTTGAGGTCAAATGCAATCATTTTGGCCAGTGCTGCTGGCCATTTTTTTTCTCTTTCCACCTCTGATACAATTTTCGGCCGCTTTTTGCCCAAGAATTCTTGTGCATTTCCGTGCCGCACTTTTTGTGCCTGCTGCCACTCATTTGCAATTTGTGTAGCTTTAAACGAAGAAGCGAGGAACGAAATACTTGGGCAAAAAAACCAAAAATACTGGAGGCATGGCAAAGTCACTTTGACGCTTCGTGGCAGCCGCCTGTCAACTGTTTCACACTTGGCCAAGAGGCACTGGCTCTGGCTCCAGCTTCGACCGCCCATCGAGAGCAAACTCGAAGCTGGGAGATGATGATGCCTAGGCTTAAATGGAACTCAATTTGTTTGGACCCAGGCGAATTGCCGGCGATTTGTACAGCGGCGCACAACATTTAGCGCCAAATGCAAAGATGATGATGATTTCCACTTTTTCCCCGGCTATTTGCAGACCGATGCGCCCCAGCAACTCTTCATGCAAGAGCTGCCCCAGGGCGGGAACTGCCATTGGCATCCCGCCGATGTTTTCGGAACCTGGCTGGCCCATTCCTTTGGGGCAGTGCTACTTAATTATCGGTTAGACATATTTTGGGTTGTTTACACTCAGTGGATAGCCCAAAAAAAAAAAAAACACTGTTTGCCAGAGCCCTGGATCATAAAGAGCTGTTGTAATAACGAGAGCACCACTCACGCCGCAGTTAACCCGTTGTTATGCCATTAAAATCGCCAAGGTAATTGCAGAGTTTGGGGTTACGGCGGCATAACGAGCAGCTAAGCCGGCGGCCCTTTACCGGAAGCTGCAACTACTTAATCCGAATTCGGGGCTCTGAGAATTCAAATCCGGAATTAGCATATAATTCCAATCCTCTACGCATATCGAATATCTCTCATCACAGAATATGCAAGTTTTCGTGGTGGTTTATGTGGCGCATTTATCAAATGGAACGATAATGGTCAATAAAAATCTTAAATCCAACTGGGAATGATGTTAATGACTATACCCGACTATAAAAATAACAAAATCAAACAAATTTCAGAATAAAAACAAAAGACTCAGGCCACAAACTTGATTTCAAGAAATTCAACAAAATATCTCTGATTCATATACTAGTTGAGGCTTGCCAAGTTAACTGTACAATCAATGCGGGTAATTGACCAGAGTCGTTAAAAATAATGTTCGAGAATCTAAATACAACTCCAAGTCGCACTTTAAATAATATATGTATATATTAAAACAGGTTGCCCCAAGCACATTGTTTATTTTGTGAAAGTAAATATGTGTGTCCCATATATTACCCGTACAATCTTCGGCCTGAAGATGAACTCGACTCAATCCGGTTTGATTCAACCCATAGTGCCAATCGGCCAGTTCCTGTATTGCCTCCTTCAGATCCGCCAATTCGCTGTGTCACCCATCGAATGTACGCGGAAATTAATCCCCCCGCCGATGCTCACATAACAATTGAGTTGTCACCCAGAAGATATATAACTTTCGGCGGGATGTGCAAAGTTTTCTTCGGTAATAGCCAAAAAAAAGCGTTAAAATATCAAAAGATAACAATTGAAAATGCCGCCCAGCCAGTTTCAATTGATGATATGAGGCAATCCGCTGGCAAGCGCAATTTATGACAGCCGCAGGCGGCATCAGACCCACCGGCAGCAGCAGTTGCAGTTGCAGCAGCTAAACCAGTAGCACCAACCGCCAACAACTGGCAATTAATAAGTAATTGAGGCAGTTGCCACAGCAACAGCACCAGCAGCAGCAGCAACTGTGTTGCACCCTCGGATTCGTTCTTTTGTTCGCCCAGCATCCAGATACCAGATCACACATATTTGGGTCAGCAGTGTGTTCGTTATCAGGGCGTTGTGTATTTATGTCACCTGGTTAAATAATCATCTCTCTCGGCTTAATTATTGCCACAGTCAGTCAGTGGGGCTCTGTGGCTTTTCTTTTGCTGCGCTTTTCCTCCTCGTCGTGATGGCCTTTCCGAGATTGCATCCAACAACGCCACATACTCCACTGCTGATGGCTGGTGGAGCCACGAAGATGCGAATTAGTTGCTTATTGTTTGGCGTAATTGTTTCTTGTTTGCCACGTAAATGAAAGTCACTTTTGATTTGGACTTTGTTATTATTCCATTTTCGTATACAGATCTGCGGTGTCAGTGTGGCGGAAAATGAAAAAAGTTCAAGCGGAAATCACTGGGAAAATTAGATTTTTGTTTACTCTTGCAGTCCGCAGAGGTAACGTAATCCGCAGTCGTATTAAGTTAATCATGGCGATAAGTTCATAACTCATAACACGATTCTGGATCCAAACAAAAGACTCAGGTAACGAACTTGACTTTGGCACGACAAGAAAAATGTTTTTTATGGTCGTTTTCGTTTTTTTCTTTGCCATTTTGTAAGCGACAACAAGTTTCCGAAAATATCAAAGTGTTTTTTGTTGGTGCTTGGTGTTTTTATATTTTTATCGTGGCAAACATGATTATGACTGCTGAAAGCTCTTGTCATTTGGTTGCCTTCGCGCGCTTGATTGTGCTTGAAAATATCAAACAATATCGAAGAATTGAATGCGGAATTTGTTTCTGACTCTTTTTGATTTATTGATTCGATTTTGTGGCACTCTCAGGCCCAATACGATGTGAGGTAGGAGGCGTCTCTAATTGGTTGTCAGCCGTTGGAATTGTATTCTCTGGTGCTTGATATCGATACCAATTTGTGTGAATGTTGCCTACTTAAGTAGTGGCCTAATAGACGATTATTGACACTTTATTCTTGTCGATTTTTTATACGTAATGCGAGTTCAGAGGCACCGCCAATGGTATTGGTGGGAACTATGCATTGGCTGTCATAATAATTTTAATAGCTCGCCGGATTCTAGCCTTGGCCGACACCTTCTTAAAAAACCCATTAGTGTCTTCATAATTCATATGGCTTTTATGAATCACGCTGCCACCGGAGAACAACCAGTTTTTACGATCGTGATCGATAAATGCGCATCCTTAGCGCGAGCCACAAAATGATGTCACTCGACCGAATTAGATCCTTGGTTAAGAGGTAAACAAACACTAAAGTGAGCCAAATATGCTGGGAATCAAGTTTTTAACTGTAAAATAGCGAATTAATTATCTTAAGATATCGGTGAGTTGATATGCGTAGAAAGAAAGCCCCTTCCCCATCCCTCCATTTGAGAAACTTGTTCTGAGGCTTCGATCATTCTTCATTGTTTGTTCAAAATTTGAATGGGGGTATATTGTTAATTGAGATTATTAGGTATTAAAAACAAAATTTTATTTATTTCACCTTGTGTTCGAACTTTAAATTAAACAAGTCGCTTTGATATCGGGGCTTCGTTCAGCTCCCAAAATAAATTCGTTTGCCTTAAAACCCAGTGGCCATCTTGGGTCACTCTTCTCCATGACGTTCACCTTAGACCATGCACATCGAAATGCCAGCCCTAAAACGGCCCAAAACGGACTGCGTCGTGCCATGGAGGTCAGTCAGTATCTTGGCCTGACATTTAGCCTGCCGCCTTTGCTGGCCATATATCAAGTTGGTGGCGGCGCTATATAGCCACGGCTATGACTATATCTTGGTGGATGGATGGAGCGTGGGGTCCATTAAATGCCTGGCAATCGCTACGCAATTCGCAACGCACGTGTGTCTTGATGAACGAGCCGCACAGATTGTGGCGGCAAATGTTTCAGAATGCTGGCATTTAGTTGTTAAGTGGCTATATAATGATAATATTTAGGATTGTGATGTAATTGAGCGTTTTACGCATGCTAGCAAATAACTATGATTAGGAAAAGACTTGATGCGGCATTAGGGTGATAAATTATGGTTAAGCTTGGTGTTTCAACACTTTAGCTCTATCGATAAAGTACTTTTGCAAAATCCACACAATTGGCTTTAAAAGTTCAAGTTCGGTTGGATTTTTTGTTTTTTTCACGAAAAAAAAGAGTGTCAAATGGGTTATTTATGGCTCAAGTGCACTTGGCTGACATTTGGCCAAATGACAATAACGGTTAGCTGAAAAAGGTGATGTTTTTATTTACGATCTTGGCTGTAAAAGACGTTGCAAGTTCGTTGTCAAAGTCTTTCGTTTTTTACTGCCAAAACAAACCCTCAGATCTGCGGCCAAGCGATGATGATGAATCTTATTATAAACACGAGGAAAAACCCGAACAAAGTCCGCCTAGAATATGTTGAAATCTCCGTAGAAAAAAACATGGAAAACATGTACATTATTTACACTTCATTAATCACCCAAGATGGGCCACAGAAAAAAAAGGCAGCGAACGAACAACAACATCAACAATTGTTGGATTGTTTTTGTTTTGTTTGTTTTGCGTCTATAGGGAATCGCGCCAGATACTTTTACTCGCAGTATCTTTCGGATGCGGCTCATTGGCTTTTCAGCGAAGCGCACGCAGCGCCAGTTAACGCATCAACACTTGAGACGAGACTCCGACTACGAAAATCCCTAACAACTACAGCCACTTTAGTTGCTGGAGGGGAATCCTCCTTTTTAAGGTATTGTTGCTTGAATGACTTTTTAATTTATTTGCCATTTCTTTTGCTGGCAACGTTAATGAGCAGACCAGACCCGAACAGGCCAGACAAGACCAGACCCGACCAGGCTATAGACCCGGCTAAGGCTCTCGCATTTTGAACTTTTATCTGTCGGCCAACATCTGCAGACAACAAACGGGCAAAAATTATATTGTACTATAGCATTTTGTTACATTTGAGGCAGCCCTGGGTTTTGTTTTGTATTCATTCGTACTT